TCTGAAATCACCCACTACTCACTATATGGTGGACTAAATAGTGAGCTCGCCATTTTGTAGTGCTGTCCAAATGTATAGTGATGATTATTATACCTTATATAGTCCACTCAATTTATCCCAGAATGCATTTTGAAAAGTAGTGTACAGCAGATGGTCACTAACCAAGCCGCATATACCATCATGCATTGCGTTGATAGAAAAAACTGATTGTCCAACGGCAATGACGTAACTAGCGGTGCCGAAATAACGTTTGGAGTAGTGTCCGAAAGTGTTTTAATAATGTCAGTGAGCTCACTATATAGTGCTCTACATTCACCTCCCTACATAGGGGGTAGGGAGTGGTGAATGACACTAAGCAGAATGTGATAATTATTTTTTACTTTTAAATATCAACACCCAGAACCTGAAGCTATCTCTGAGTGCCCCTGCCTTTAAACATTATACTCATATTCTCTAAATACAGATCAATTCTGCATCCTAAAATACACTGACATCTAGGATAAGTCTGTGCTACAATCTTTAATTGAAATTTACATTCAGTCTCTAACCCTAACCCTGAACACAATGAGTCGCTAAGAGTACTCTAGGGCATAACCAGTTTAATATTTTGTTTAGGTGAAATCTTGGTATAAATACGCAAAATTTATATATTTAATGTTATTAATTTACCGGTATTGACTATGTACCATATAATTATCAGAATCTGAACATTTGCATTTGTGTCAGAAGAGGTCAAAGACATTAGTGTCAATCTTCCAGCTGTTAAACTTTCCTCTGTCTGTTTCTGTTGCCTATCAGATCTCAGTTCTGTTTTTAGATTCACATGATAGCCAGCCATAAATGTCACTTACAAAAGGGAGATTATTGTTTTAACCATCCAACATCAATGTTATTAGAAATAGACATCAATGTTATTAGAAATAGTCTGTGACAACAAGCTGCAAAAAAGAGAAATTACAGAAGCAACATTCTAAATACACAAAAGAGGATATTTACTCAATTTGACATCTTAGCCGCATTACACATAACACAATATGAATTTTCCACATGATTGCCCATGCAGATTCAGCTGCGGTGACAAGGCCATCTGTTAACTTGTGTGCAAAAGATTCTTGAAGATGACGCAATACATCTTCAAATATGGCTTATGTGATTTTCAGATTCCGCTGAAATAAAAATGTCTGATATAAGCTGGAGTCTGTAACGAATTTAATACAATGAGTAGATTGTACAGTGTAGTGGAGAGGGATCTATATGCATCGGCCAGATTGGAGCTCAGCGTTGCCTCAAAAGATTGAGTAGGGCTGGGTGATGTAGCTGAAATTACAGTAATACCACAATATTACTGCGTAAGAATATATCTTCTATTATTGATATATTAAAAAATACGGCAAATGTAAGTGATGTCACCTATTAATTTTTTTAATGCAGTGTACTGAGTGCAATAAATCAAAAAGCCCTACATGCGTGCAATTTAAAAACCAAAATAACTGTTTGTTTTTAGATTCAATTTCAAAACATATTGTGGAGAATGATAATATGATATAACTAAATTCTCCCGATTCGATAGATAAAGTAGATATCAATTCAATAGATGGATCCATCTATTGAATTGATATCTACTTTATCGATATATTTCGAATTGTGATAGATAGATATCAATTAGATAGATAGATAGAAGATAATTAGAAGATAGATAGATAGATAGAAGATAGATAGATAGATAGATAGATAGATAGTAAACAACTTTACTCATGACAATGTGCTCCAGATCCCTCCTGTATGTTGTATATTGTCGCAATACATTTGCATTAGACACAATGCTCATCCAGTCCTGCATTTAGGCTGCATGCAGGTTAAAAGATGCAGTAAAATAAAAGCAGAGGATATCTGTGTATACCCTGGCCTGGGGGACAAAATAGATGGATGTCTGTTCAATGCTCACATACTGAGGTTGTAATTGTTTTTGCCTAGTTCCCCCACATTAGCATGACAAAGATGCAGGTTTGGCCCTTTTTCCATGCCCATCATTAGTAGTCTCAACAGGAGTAGGGGACGCAGCCCAAACTCCCCCCAAAAAAGTCACTCTTTTTAGCTGTTCTAAAATATCCACTTTAGCAAAACAGCAAACTCAGTTTTCCCCCTGGTACATAATAAAGTCTATATTTGGCTTGTGGGACCCGGGGAAGTTTTATTTTACTGCAGTTTATACCAGCTATAGATGGTATAAAACAGTTATTTCAGTTAATTTAATTTAGTGTTCAAGGAGGCGTCAAAGTCTCTATCGTAACTGTCAAGTATTAAGTTAAGAATCTTTCTTCTAGCCATGCAAATACTAAGACTACTATTTTTGGATTCTTGTAAGAGACCAAGCCCCGGTCCCATGGTACTTAATAAAGATTTAAGGGATATGTGGCCTCTTTCTGAGGCCACCTAGTTTATTTGTCTTACAGAAGGGCGGGTTACTGAGATGAGTTTGCCTGGAAAAAAATCATATTTTCAGTCTGAGAACATGATCTAGTTGAATTGTAAAGAAAATGGCGAACACAATATGAACCCATCCTTAAATGGCCGGTTACCTCGGGTGGTACCTGGTCATGCAGATAGTTTTGGTTTTATTTGTTCAGGTTGTGAGATCTCTGACATTCAGTTTGTTTAAATAAGTTTGAACGGAATTGAATTTGTGGTGCTCACAGAATTGTAGAAATTCGAACGCAACATATATTGCTAGAAAAAAGTTTTCCCATTAGCAGTTCCATTCAAACTGTCCATGTAGTACAGTGAGGATGCGGCAGAAATCACAGACGGACATTATTTAAAACCTGGGCAAATAAAACAAGATAGCATTACAGGAAATTGAGAAACTATGTTGGTTGCAACAAACAATTATTTTCATTGTTGATTAATCTGTAGATTATCTATTAGATTCATCAGTAATCAAAAATAATAAAAAATGCCCAACACAAGTTCTGAGAGCCTCACGTGATGTCTTCAGGTGTCTTGTTATTTTCCGGCCAACAGTGCAAAACGCAAAAATATTCAATTTACAATGATACAAAACACAACCAAACAACTACATCTCACATTTAAGAAGTGAGAACTAGCACATTTCGGCATTTCCGGTTACACAAATGACTGAATGGTTAATTATCAAACTTGTTGCTGATAAATTTTCTCTCAAGCAACTAATATATGAATAGCTTTTTGATTTGTACTCCAAACTGAGAAACATGTGACAGTATGTGACTGAACATGATGAAATGACTGGTCACTCAGCTATTTTAAAATAGGACAGAGGACATAATCCTGAATGAATGAATCAAGCATGAGGATTTATATGAACCTTTTTTGAAGTAACCATGTAAGTATGGCATCCACTAAGACGTGCTCTTGTGTATAGATGTAGAGGTCAGCCAGTGCCCTTCTTACCTGTAGCTTGATGTTTCCTCAAATATCTTCTCCCGTCCCTCTTTAAACAACAGCAAGGCCCTGTCCGTCTTATCCAGCAGATTTCTGACATGGACTCTAAGGTACTTGGCCTGGTCTCCATGGGGTACCTGACCGCCTGCCGGCCTTGAGCCTCTGTAGGGCTCCCAAACCTGCACGAGCAGCCTTGTGCTCTCAGATACCAGGTCTGGTAGGTATGGCGGACTGTTCCTCAGGCCCAGCCGGGGGTTAGTGCACAGCTCGTGGAGCTTATCCAGTCTTTTGATGGCCTTGTTCACTAGCCGCAAGTCTCCACTGCTAGGGGTCTGGAAGCTCAATTTCGGGCTCCTGGAGGCTCCTGAACCTGCTGCCGCCATTGTTTGGCTGTGTTTGAAAGCGATGCAAATCAAAAACGGCCTTAAATGTCAGTCTGTCTGCATGTGTGGGGGCGTTACAATCAATTATTATGCTCCTGTTTGTGATGTGAAAGCTGAATTAATTTTTGAACGTGTGAAAGTTTATGAGAAGAAATAGGAACAGCTATTAATACAGGCTCAAGTTTTTGAGTGTTTAAGCTGGTGTTTATTGTCCTTAAAATGATTTTTGTGAGTTCTCAGCTTCATCTGAAAAGCACACATCTTAGCCTCGTCAAACAGCATCCACCCTTGATCCATATATGAATCCAACAGCATTACATTATCCAATAAAGGATAGCACGTTCAGTTACAGGATTTCTAAAAATGCACTAGGCTAAGCATTTCCTCCCAAAACAGCCACTCCTGTTCGTTTGTAGTCTCCCTCCTGTCAGATCTTCGGAAAAATACAAAAATACAAGATCAGTTATATAAAAAGGTTGATTTTTTAAGATTTCCACAACAGCAATAATACAACAATACAATACAACACAAGAGGCTAACCATGAGAAAGCGTGAACTAAATAAATAAAGAAAGGAAGGTTTGAGACATGCTATGAAACAGTTTCAACTTCTACTACCCCACTCCCACAGAGAACTCTTTAAACATTCAGCCTTTCTTGCCCCCTGTTAAGCACAGTGCAATGCTTACCAATCTTCATGCGCACATTTCAGGAGCACATTTCAGGAGCACAGCAGTCACACGTTCTCCGGATCAACAGAGCTGAGATGTATTCACAGCACAGCGGAAAAATGTTCTGTCATTGGCTGAAAAGCTGCTGCTTCTTCTTTTTCTCTCTTTCTTGATGTCACCCTCTCACTTGCTTTCTCACCCTTTGATTAGTTTCCTGGTTGGTTACAGCCAGCCAAACAGGTTTGTTTTCTTTGCTCTATTGCTCAGGCAAGCAGAGAGAGAGAGAGAGAGACAAAGAAAGAGAGAGAGAAATGGGAGGGAGGGAGACAGAGAGATGTGCACTCAGAATTCAACATTTACTAAGAATGAAAGCTGCAAGACCTGAGTAACATTTAGTATCCAGACAGGTATGGCTGCTTACTAAAAGACAGGATGCTCAAAGGTCAAAATAAGTCCAGCAGCTCCTGGCATATAAGACAAATCATCATCTTCACCTGACTGTCAACAAAGAACAATATTTAATTAAATGGATTTAGTTGAAATTTCAACCAGAATTTGTAAAAGAGTTATTTTTATGAATACAAAGAACATAGTTATGAAAGGATTCATAACAGCCTTTTTTGTATGTAGGCCTATTGCATTTTGAGTGACACACCTAAAGTTAAAAAGCTAAATAAAGCTGGCTGGAAAAATCACATGACAACATGTAGGCCTACATGTGGTTTTGCACCTATAAAAAGCATGTCACATCACAATGTGAAATATGTGAAACAGGTGCTTTGCACATGTTAGAAATGTACTTTTTACATGGCAAATGTGGTTTTAGAACATTTTCGTTGCATGATGTGTGGAACCTATGTGATGACATGTGAAACTGATGCGCTCCCCATATATTCTACATGGTAACACATTGCTTACATGTCACCGCCTGTGCACTACCACATGTGGAAAAACACGGGAAATTAATGTGGCTTTCTGTAAGGTTTGTTATGAATATCTTTAAAGCAAATATCTGTTTCAAAAACAATTTTCACACTAACAGGTCCTTCTCATGTGTATAGATGTAACTAGATGTCAGCCATGGGTTCCCTCACCTGCTGGATGTCTCCTCTCCCCTCAGCAGAACGGCCCTGCAGGTGTCTGACATGGACCCTGGGGTACTACAAGATTATTTATCTTTAGCAGCGTCATCAGGTCCAATATTTCAGTTTGTCCAATATGTTTGTTTTTATCAAAGTAACTAAAACGAACGATGTTGCCATCAGCCCTATCAGCCTTTGTGTTTATGCTAACTAGTTAGCTAGCATGCTAACTAGTTAGCTAGCAGGCTAGTGCACTAAACTATGATAAAATGGTGACCATGGTACACATTTTAGCTAACTGTTACTAAGTTATCAGTGTAGCATCTGTGCGTTAGCATTGTCATTGTGTGCATGTTAGCAAGCTCACGTTAACTTTGTGGGTGCAGCCCTGACAGCTGCTAGCATGGAGGTGACTTAAAACAAAAATGTGATTTTGTTTAATCAGTTATTTAGTACGTGTGCAAGAACTATTTGATGTGTCTATCTCAGTTTGAAGAAAGAAGGATATGTCTCTACTCAGAAGTAGCTTAACTTGTTACATACGCCCAAAACGTTACTCAGTTCTTGGAAAAATAGGAGTAAGTTAGCAAAAACACAGTGTAGACATACTATGTTACTATGGTACAAGTCATCCATTCAAATAAGTAAAAGTAATAACGTAATGGCATCAAAATATACCTCAACTATCCAAAGTAAAACTCATTATGCAGAATAGCCTAATTTTAACTACTTGCTTGTATCTGCTGGGTAGCTTCAAGCTTGTAAATCCTCCCTGGGATCAACAAAGTTTTTTCTTACTCTATAATAGGCTACATCATAATGTGATTTTTGAATATTTAAGTACCTCAACATTGTTACAGTACTTGAGTAAATGTACTTACAACTTTACTTTCTACCACTGACAGCCAAGCCAACACTATTAGAAGCCCATACCGTTCACTCCAGCCAAATAGAATATTACAAAATGGTAATAAGAGATGACACTAAAAATGTATTTACTACAAATATATTGGAAATAAATACCTGACATATTAACATAATTAATAATGGCACATTTCATATAAAATAATATATTCAGTATAATATTAGCCTACATGTTTTGTGTCCAGGACTTGTATATATATGTATTCATCAGGAGTTGTCAACAATGGATAAATTATTTATTTCTTAATACTCTGAGTGAGAGGAAACATTTCTCACACGTATTGCTTGTTGGCACACAATTTGCACTATTACAATGACAATACTGACAACCTCTGCTTTAATATCCACAAGAGGGAGACACTGCACTGGACAGTCAGTTTAGTGTTGTCACTGAAAGCTGATTATTTTAACCATTTAAATGTCAGTTTCCAGCTTAATTTACCTTAACTGAAGCCTTTCTGGTTTACCTTAACTGAAGAGTATATATATGCTTTAAACATATTTAACATAGCAGTTGTGCATGATGTAGTAGCCCTACTTCCTGCTGCAAAAGACACATGTCAAAGCCACTTACTCAGCATCCAAAGATTGCGTTAGTTTGTACTGTATTCACCAAATATATGTTAATTGTTTGGAGATTTCAAATGCTTAGAGTTTTCCTTGACCGTTTTTTGAGTGTTTGGTGGCACCTTTGCTCTCCTGGCACAAGGGGGCCTCATTTTATTGGTCTCATTGGCTTGTATCTGGATATGTCACCTCATGGTCTGTGCCACTGAGGACTGCTCTCTGCATTTACCATGCAGTCTCAGAATACTGAGCCCCAAAATTAAGGGTTATGTGATGTTTTCTGTTTACATTTATGTGCATGCTCTTAAAGATCACAGAACCTCAGTCAATGTCTCATTCTTTAAACAATAAGCTATGTCTTGTGTGTATTCAGGATGAGACTGGCCATAAAAGAGGTAAGCCTGTGTTCATAAACAATGATACCTAATGTTAGAGCAGCCCATAATGGTTGAGTGCTTTGACAGCTGCAGAGCATGTTTGTGTAGTGTCAGGGTCTTTTAGGGACTTTAGACACCAAGCTTGACTTTCCGTTGCCAGCGCCACACTTCAGTGGAAAGAGGAAAGTCCCAAATTGACCCTGGTAATCAGAGCCTATGGTCTGAGGGTGGAGTAGGATAAGATGAAAGACACGGAGATGAGGTGTGATTTGTGTGTGTTCAACTCAATTCTATTTATATAGTGCCAATTCACAACAAAAATTTTCTTATTGCTCTTTTCATATAGAGCAGGTCTAGACCGTACTCTGTAATATTATTTACAAAGACCGAACAATTCCCACCATAAGCACTTGGAGCGGATGTGTGTGTGTGTGTGTGTGTGTGTGTGTGTGTGTGTGTGTGTGTGTGTGTGTGTGTGTGTGTGTGCGCGCGTGCATGCTTGTGTATGCACAGTTATGGTTGGTATACATATGTTTGTGAACAGGTCACCTGGCGACACGCAGGGCATCTGTGACATGGTAAAAACAGGTCAGTCTGAATAGAGCAACTTCTGTCTCAATTCTTCCTTTATTCTCCTTACTCCTTTTAGGCAGTGCAAGCTCAGCTCTGGTGACAGATGAAGGGACTAACTGTGCATGTGATGGACTGCAACTTGCAAAACAACACCAGAGGGATAAACAATCTAGAAATAAGCATCAGGATTACTGGAGCTGTCATGTCTTGTGTATTTAAAATGTTATAAGTTCACATATTTGCAGAATACAAAAATCACATGTGATTTTGTGAGTCCAGCGTGCTAGTAGTGCCAGAAAGCTGTCATACAACAATCAGCTGTAATGAACCAGAACTGGAACAAAATTGTCGTCTATACTGTAATGAGATCAACAAAAGTGGGACATTGTGTAACTTTATGGACTGAAAATAAAAAATTATGTCTGCTGACCTGAGGCACTGAAACATGTGATCAAAATAACAAACAAACAAATCCCTTCCATGACATCATTAAGAGGGTACAGGAAAGTTCAAAAAGGAAGTCACCTCAAAATGGTAATTAATTAAAAGTAGCCTACCCTATATAATTTGCACATTGCAAGTTGTTGAAGTCAGTCTTTCCTTGCAGCATTCTGATCGATACAGTGGGACAGTCCGTTAAGCTTTTAGAATAAAGGAAATAAAAGACACAGCTCTTTATTGCTACTTTAAACTGATTCTGAACCTTTATCCATTCTCTTCACGCGGTATTCAGTTGTATGTTAACTGCTAGGCTACTCAAGTTCGGAAATAGCATCCTGAGTCTAAATCTAATATTGAAGCCTTTATTATTAACAAGATTGCACGCAAAAAATGGAAGAAAGGACAATTACAATGAAAATATGTTCGTAAAGAAAATGTTCGGTTTGTAAGCGTGTTCTAAGTTAACAGTTGAGCGTGCATTGAAATACATTTGGGGTAGCCAGCTACAGTGCAGCCAATAGCTAGAGGGAGTCCCCTTTCTCTGACCTGCTTGCACATTTTGCACATAGATTTGCCCTGCAAGAACCGCGTCAAAAGCACCGATCCGTGAACTTCTTGAGAAATTCAGTAGACCCATTAGATGTTTTGAACTTGCATGCAAAACAGACAGATGTCAAAGAGTTCGGAAATGCAGAAATTATTGTGAATTCAAGGCAGTGTTTTCTCTTTCCCTCTCTCACTCAGTATAATTTGCCCTTAAATGCTACACTCGCTTTCTTTCGATTTAAAGGGAAAGCACCGCTTGTGTCACAGTGAGTACGTTCATTAAAAGCAGATGCACTGTGTGAAGCACTGTAGCTCACCTGCAGTTGTTAGCCTAGGTACGCAAGGATACACACTATCTGCACTAAACTTGTAGTAACTCTTCTTCAAAAACAAATTTGCATTCCGAGTCAATGAATTTTGTCGCTCGGCCTGAAATACACCAGTGACACAAAAGGAAACAGAGTGATGATTTGATCGCTGCCCATTTGATTTCATGGGGATGGGAATAGCGCACTATTGGCCACTTTGGATGGACCGATCCCACTAAACTGTCACTGAACGTCGAGAAGTTGTCTTCACGCGCACACACCTGAAACTTCTTCAGATCCTGAGCGCCTCGCCCACAGTTGATGCCGAGGATCATGACCATGAACGGTGACCACCAGTCGGTTGCCACAGCGCCGCTGGATCTGCGCACCACTAACCGAGAGCGTGGGAGCGCCGGGTCAAGGATCCCGGACTGCAAAGGTCGTGTCAGGGACGCTCGGGTAACAGGCGGCTCACCTGCACCCCCTGCGTGCACAGGAACGGATAGTTTGGAAATACGCTGCCCCTCGGTCAGAGGCACACCGGGCTCAGAATCCGGCGCTGCTCGCAAACGACCAGCGGACAAATCTTCCTTAAGGCTTCCTTTTAGGAAACGCCCGATTCTTGTCGAGCCGGAGACCCAAACGCAGTCACCGGCGCCACCAGAAAGTGTAGACCGCTTTTCCCCTGCGGTAGATACGGACATCACAATTCGGGAAAGTTTTGCCGGTAGATTGGGACAAGCCACAGACGAAAGCAGGGTCGTTGCAGCACAGGTGACTCCCAGGCAGGTTGAAGAGGCAGGACAGAGCCAAGATGGATATCCTATAAGCTTCATGTACCCATTTGATTACGGTAAGCGTTCTTTCTTTATTTTACATTAATATTAATATTGATAATAATAAAATGATAATATAGCCTATATAAACTTAGTTACACGCCAAAGTTTTGCTTCTATAAAGTTCTCATCTGAAGTAGTTCCAAGGGAACAATTATGGCCAAAACAATCAAGCTGGGTGTTGCATTAGTGCATCTGTCTGTACACTCAGTAAGACTATTAGACACACAATTTAGGGTTCAAAGACAGAGCATGGCACAATAAATTGGTATAGGCTATAGCCTGTTACATGGACGATTTTGGTTTTTAAAACAGTAGCAACACACTACACAGCTCCCCCCACCCCCTCTTCAATATTTTTAGTCACTATGTATTACAGGTGGAAGGAAAGACAGTGGCTTCACAGTTGATGGTACAGCTGCTGCTGAATCAATGAGAAAATGTCCAGTCAGCCATTCTGATTCTGCAGCTATCCTCTTCAGTCAGACTCTTGCACTAACAAAAGTTGCTTAGTGGGTCAACTCATAACTGAATACTACTCTTACACACACACACACACACACACACACGCGCGCGCACACACACACACACACACACACATGCACAGTTGCACACTTCCTTATTACCAAAAATGACTTTACCAGGCCAGCCTCTTTATTGTATGTTTCTCCATTACTTTCTATTGAAATCTTCCTGGATCTCTATGTCTTTTTCTCTCTCTCTCTCTCTTGTACTGTCTCTGCCTCTCTTTCTGTGTCATTCGTGCTCAGGTTCCTGCCGACTGTACTGTGTGGCTGCTGCCCCAGAGCCAAACCCTCTGGCCCACCCTGGACACCTGCTGTCTGGTGTCGCTCTGGCTACACGTCAAGATGAAGATGGAGACACGTATGTTGATGTATTTAAAATGGCTTACAGTGGAAGATAGTCTGCCACTTCCTTTGTGTATGATTTAATCACTCATATCCATCCATCCACTACACATATATCCAAGCCACTGATGCATTCATTAAACTTAAAAGATTACTATGATTCATCCAGGCATTTTCATAGTCATCACATTTCAGTCAGACGGGTGTGTTGCCAGTTGAAACTTGGCACAATTCACAGATCTGAAATCTTACCACATTCATAAATATTCATGAGATTCCCGGCAGATTGAGTATTTTATTTCATTTTTTTGGATTGAGTAGACATCACATCTTTACCTGTACAGACCACGAGTTTGAACTAGTGATCCACTTACATAATGGGCCCGAGATTAACAGTTTAATATGGAAAAATTCCTATTTTCTTGGAAGTGGTGACTCATTTGTTGCAAACTTTCCAAAGTTGCACTTAATTTGAACTGTCCAAAAAAACTAAATGCTTCACAGTAAGAACAAATTGGATTCATTTTGTGTTTCTTTACATTGTTTTTATTCTAAAAGATTCAAAAAATTAATATTCTTTTGCTTAAAACTGAAATACTGTACTGTGCAAAGGTTTTAAATAGGTGTGGAAAATGCTGTAAAGTAAGAATGCAAATTGATATTTGGTGTCACTACTCTTGGCCTTCAAAACAGACATCTTAAAGAACTACCCACAGTTCTTCTGTGAATTTAGGCAGTGTCTGTTGCTTCTCTCTCTTCATGTAATCCCAGACTTGATGATGTTGAGCTCTGTGGGGGCCACACCATCACTTCCAGAACTCCTTGTTCTTCTTTATGCTGAAGAAGCTCTTAAGGACTTTTGATGTATGTTTGGAGTCATTGTCATGCACATCAGATGCGTCCCTGATGGTATTGCATGATGAATACATATCTGCCTGTACTTTTCAGCATTAATTCTGACCAAATCCCCAACTCTGTTTGCAGAAATGCAACCCCAAACTTGCCAGGAACCTCCACCATGCTTCACTGTTGCCTGCAGACATTCATGTACCATGTATCTTGTACCGCTCTACAGCCCTTCGGCAAAGAAACTTCTCTGATAGAGCCAAACATTTAAAATTTTGACTGTAGTATTTTGATCAGACCCAAGCAACTGCTGCTATTTTTATTCACCCCAGTTTCTGTGTTTCTGTCTATAGTCGAGTCACTTGGCCTTGTTTCCATGTCGGAGGTATGGCTTTTTAGCCTTAAGTCTTCCATGACGGCCACTTCTGACCAGACTTCTCCAGACAGTGTTTGTGTGTATCAGGGTACCACTGTTTTCTGATAGTTCTGTGCTGATGGCACTGCTGGACATATTCAGACTGCGAAGGGAGGTAAACATGATGCATCTGCTGCAGTAAGTTTCTTGGGCCGTCCACTATGTCTACGGTCCTCAGCGTTGCCTGTTTCTTTGTGCTTCTTCAAAAGAGCTTGGACAGCACATATAGAAACCCTCATCTACCTTGAAATATCTGCCTGGGAGAGACCTTGCTGAGGCAGTCTAACTACCATGTGTCTTGTTGCTCAGTCTTGCCATGCTGTATGACATAAGACAGTAAACTGTCTTCAGCAACCTCACCCAGTTGTATTCCTACTACGCAGCTGTTTAAGCTAATAATTATGTTACAACCTACACACTGCACTGGGGATCTTTAGCACTTGTTTGGTATGATTGTTTAATCATACACCTGATGATATGCCTAGACGAATTAATGCTGTTTTGAAGGCAAAGGGTAGTTACACCACATATTGATTTGATTTAGATTTTTCTTATGTTCACTCCCTTTGTATTTTGTAAATTGATAAATATAATCGATTAACATGTCTATTTTTGGCAGCTTTGTTACTTTGGAGCATTATTTCCACACCTGCCTAAAACTTTTGCACAGTACTGTACATACCTTTATGTACTTTGATGCCCTCTATGGTGGCAAGAAGTAATTGATATAAGTAATTGATATCTTAACCTCCAGCAACATGTAAACAGATGATACAAAATATCAATAATCCAACCCAGCTGTTTTCCAGCAGTTTTTTAATTATCCACCTACTTAGAAGGCTTTCACATACAATCTTTGTGTTTTTGCCCATTCATGGATCTTGCATTTCTGTCTCTTGAGTTGCATTCTCAAATTTGTCTTTGCATGAACCAATAGGCCTTTTTCACAGTAGACATTTTGACTTGTGGGATTAGCAAATTCAAATGTCCCAGTGTGACAGTGAGCCAGCATGCATAATATGTCATGTAATGTTAAAATGTTGTGCATGAAAAAGTCCTATGACATATTAGTCTGTCTCATAGTTCCTCGCCAGCCAATGAAAAAAAGTGAAACTGAATTGGTCACATAAATAAAAAAGTGAATACAAGGGATTCGCTGGGCTGGACCCAAACAAGTCTCACCAAGTGACCTCATTAACAAAACTTTTGGCGTTCCACAACCTGGATGTGGTTTGTGTCATGTCTGTATCATCTCTGTTTATTTGTTATAATCTCCACGACTCAAGTGATTCTGCATATTGAAGAGGTACAGTCAGTGCCCCTCTCGTATCCAACCAATTTTTTTTTTTACTTTCTATAAGGGAAAGTGGTTTAGCGTAGATCAGGAATGATTTACTAAGTGGCAATGGAGACTTTGTTCTAACACACTAGCCTGGAAACTGTAGCAATTGACTCTGAGCTGCTGGATTAAATGAGTATTGCATGAGCAGGTATGTGTTAGTGTATGTGTGTTGAGCAACCTATAATTTTAAGTTGACTAGCCTCTCAGGGTGTAGGATCGGGGGGGTTGGGAATGAGAATACTGTACACAAGAAACTAGAGGAGTTTTCATAGACCACATGAATGCAAATATTAAACTTTAACGCATGGTTACTTTACTTTGTGTAAAGGTTTAACGCCCACCCACACACTAACTGAAATGTCAAACTGATACAAGAACACACACACACACGCAAACACACACACATGCACACTCACACACAAAGTCATGTGAGTGAAAACATAGCATGTCCAAGAATTAAATGCCACTTTGATGTTGTGGTTTCAAAAAGTATCAGCAATATTTGCATTCATTTGAAATAAACTCGTGATGACCAACATTTAGCGGAGCCGTAAGTCCCGTGATATGTCACAGCTGTGTATTGTCCCACATCTGCTTCAGAGGCTCATAATCACTATGACATGTCTGCTATAAACAGATAATGGCAAAGAAATAAGAAGAATGCAACGGATGTTGACTCTCAGAATAGACATAAAAAGTACTTTTTCTTTGTTATACATGCAAAGTTATGAGTCTCTATATTTTTTAACATCGGCGCCCTAAAACCTGATTTTATTTTTTATCTTCTCTTGCTGTATATATTGTTGACACTCCTCTCTGGAGCGTCTTGCAATTATGTTATCCATAACACAAAGACAAAATGAAAAACTGACATGAACATTGTCTAATTAGCATTGACTTAATGCAACAGCAGCAAATCTAGGCCCTTTGTAATGAACTTCAGAACTCGACTAGCTTACGTAGTACCTACTTGTTGTTTTGTGGTTATATAAAACTTTGTGTGAATTCTGCAGAAACATTCTCAGCCCCCCTGTCCATTTCACACTGTTTGTATGTACATGAGTGTGTGTATGTATGCACATTGTCAAGAGATGCGAGCATGCGCCTTCTCTTACGTCAACGGTGGTGATCATCCTCTGTTCTCAGCGCCTCTGAGCCCCTTAGTTTCGGGAAAACCAGTGGTTGCTCAGTTTTTAAACACGATTGCGGTTTTTCTCAGGTGTTTCTGTCTCTCTTTTCTTCTCTGTGTTTTTAAATGAATGGGCTCAAAAAACCCAAACATCCGCTCTTAACTTCCTCATTTACCGCTTTCTTTCTATCAGCTTTATCTCTCTCTCTCTCTCTCACTCTCTCTCTCCATTTCTGTTTTATGTGTCACTTGCTTAGCCACACTAGATGTGTAATGTGCATATTTTCTTACTGCTCCTACTACATGCTGTCTGTGCATTTACACACCAACATATGCAGATTTTGGCAAAACTCTGATTATTGAACTTGAACCATTTAAAATTACTACAGTATGTAGACCCAGTACTTTTGCACATGCACTGAACCAGATGTAAACATTAAATGTTTTGTTTATGTAAAGAATAGAAAACGAGACTAATAGTTTACAGCCATACTAGTTGGTCTATGAGGCTATACACATGCACAGGGGTGCATACTTTGAACTAAGTGTTAACTCCAACTTGGCAATATGCTCTCAATTACAGAGCTAACATGCAAATGTTTAGCCGGGAATATTTATCATGTATACCATATTAGTTTAGCGTGTTAGCATGCTCACATTTGCTAGTTGGCACTAAACAAAGTACAGTTAAGGAAGATGGAAATGTCATTGGGTTTGAGGTATTTGGGCATAAACCAAAGAATCGGACAAACATTGGCTGATCTAATGGTGGCACTGGGGGAAATTCAGAGGATCACCAAAGTCATTATGATATATCCTTGGGTGCCATTGATATCTGAATGCCGAATTTCACGGCAATCCATCCAATTATTACGATATTTCAGTCTGGACCAAAGTGGTGAACTGACTGACTGACTGAGTGACATCATGTTACCCTTATGATGACTGTAGAAATGGTAGAAAAAATTATTCCACAAAACAATAAACTGCTTGCTCATCCAGTTTTGCTCAGACACATTCCAACCCCATCATTCTTTGTAACGAGCACAGCAGATATACAATGTGATGTGAAGTCATCATTTCTTGTTAACTGGACTGTGGTGCGTCTCTGTGTCTCTTTTGTTTACTATTCACACACTGACACACACCTCATCACTGCTCAGCTGGTCGGCAGACCACAGCATATGTTAGGCTGATCATTCAGTTTGGCTGCACCCTCACTCTCCATACCAAAAAGGATACTGCACAATGGTCCCATCGCTCTCTGCGTTCTCTTTTTTCTCTTTTCTCACACTGTGTTTTTGACACTCTCTCTCTCTCTCTCTTTTCACAGACACAC